CTTCGCTCCCAGGCTTTTATGACGTCGGACTTTAAGAAGGAAGTGGACCGAAGCATTGAGGCGCGTTTATGGTCCTCTGCCGCCAATTTCCGCCATGGTGGGGGCCTTGCATCTGGTGCCGATCTTACGGTCCCGTGGAGGCACCTTGCGTCTCTGCGACGGAAGTCGGTGCAGAAGTGGGGCTTGCTTCGGGCGGTCCTCACTGGGGCGGTCTGGACGAGAGCTCGAATTCAGGCGTGTGGAAGGGAGTGCGAGGTCACTTGCCCTCGGTGTGGGCTTGAGCCAGAGACGGACATCCATCGACTCTGGCAATGCCCGTGCAATGCCGAATTCCAGCAAGTTGATCCGGCTTTCTCTCGAAAGGCGGCTGCTGCTGCAGTTGATCTTCCATGTTTCTGGCTTCGCGGCCTCGTACCCCGCGAATGGACGTCGGTCCCTCCTCCTCCCGGCGACCCGATCCTCCTCGCCGCTGGTGTGTTTCCTGGGCTTGGTGAGGGAACTCGCATCTGGGGCGCGGGGGATGCGAGTGGTGGGGAGTTCTCGAAGGATAAGCGTCTCAGGCGGGTGTCTTGGGGCGTCGCGGTTTTTGGCCATGATGTTGTAAATCTCCCCCCCCTGGTGTCGGAAGCCGACATTAAGTTTTTAAAAGGGGGGGGGATTTCGGGAAAGCAGTCTGTGAATCGGGGCGAGCTCTGGGCCCTTCTAGTCTTCCTGGAGTCTGCGTGTGATGGAGCCTGCCTGGGTTATATTGCGGACTCGGCGTACGTTGCCCGAGGTTTCGCGCGTGTCCAGGCTGGCCTTCGTCAGCGAATACAGACCCATTCTGACTTGTGGAGCCGCGTCCAGAGTGCTCTGGATCGTCTCGGTGATGTGGCTCTCGTGCAGATTCCGAGCCATCTTAGTGTTGAGGATGCCGTCCGTCGGGGTTTGAATCCTGGAGTTGTCCTGGCGAATGCTGTGGCCGACTTAATTGCTGGCCATTTTGCGTCCCAGGTCCAGGTGCCCTTTGGAGTGTCGGCGCCCGTCCGTTTCGCGGATGGCCTTGCTCGGAAAGTGCAGAACCATCTCGTAGATGTGATGTCTGATGTTTTGGAGCGCGAAGGCCGACGGCCTACCCGACCCCCTGTGGTAAAGGTTCGGAGGTCGGCTCGGCAGCTCTTGCGCTCGGCAGCGGCTCGGACTTCCCACTCGTGCCCCTTGATTTGTGGGGATTTCTCGCGGTGTCAGAAATGTGGGTGTAGTTCGACCAGCCGTGATTTAACGGCGTTCTTGAATTCGCCGTGCACTCCCATGGTCTGGTCTGGGTCGGTTTTTCGTCCTACGACTTCGGTCTGCGTCAGAAGTCGTCTTGTGGACCCTTCCCATGCTTTGGCTTTTTGGCCTGAGGCCAATGTTTTGTGGTGCCTCACATGTGGAGCTTATTCGACCCAGCACCTCAGAGACCTTAGTAAGGAGTGTTCGGGCCGTCTCGAGAAGGCGGGCTCGCAGAATCTTCAGAGAATTGCCCAGGGTAAGGTCCCTGGCAGCTTGGTTTGGGGGAAGGAGCGGAAGGAGAGGGCTCAGGCGAGGGGGGTGGAAGGAGAGAGAGCGGCGAGTGCGGCCCCGCGCGCGCGGCGCGCGGCCCCGTACGGGGCGGCTGCGGTGGCCGCCGACGTCTCGGCGACCCTCGCCGCCAGGCGCCGCCCAGCCTCTCTCCCCCCCCCTGCCTGCCCTCGTCCGCCTCCCGTCGTCCCCCATCCTGCCCAGGTGGCGTAGGTGGTTGGGTGTGCGCCACCCTGGGTAATTAGGCTTGGTCTCCGTCATGGGTCATTATGATCGCTCGCTATATTCCTCCTCCTCCTTCTCCGCATCATTGTCCTTGTCACCCGCGCCCTCCACCCTTCCACTACACCTCCTCCTCAGCATCTCCGTCATATTTTCCTCCTCCTCGTCCTCCTCCTCCTCCTCCTCCTCCACCTCCTCCACCTCCTCCTCCTCCTCCTCCGCCTCCCGAGGAACCACCTTGCCGGAGACCCTAGGCACGAAGGGTCGGGTGGGAGGGCTTAGGGTGGTAGGGTCCAGGCACAATCCTCCCCCCATCGTGCGTGTACCGGCCACCTTGCCACCCGCTACACACGGTTCCGCCACAAATCTCTGACCTGTCGACCTCCAGCATCGACCACGTTGGAAAGGTGCAAAGGGGAGTTTGACCCCCTTGCCCAGACCAGGGGCATTGATCCCCTGGTCACGGGCTGTTCCCCCTTGGCCCTAAAGAGACCCCCCATTCGTGGGCTCGTGGGCTTCGCCACCCCGAGGTGCGCCGCCGAGGCGCCCGGACCCGGGGCGCTGCCCCACAGGCGACGGGGATCGTCAAGGCTGTTCCCCCTCTTGGCCCCCAGAGGCCCCCCCATCATGGGGCCCCCCGCGCCCCGGGGCCCACCGGGGGCCCCTCTCCTGAGACAGAGGTGCGCCGCGGAGGCTGTACTTCCCGAGGTACGGCCGGAACCTATCACGGGGATCCCTGGGACCGGTTCCCTCACGGCCGCTGGCAAGCAAAGGATGCCTGTGGGTGCTTTCCCCCTGGCGCCAGCCACTGGCGGATAGCTTCCTGCCACGCCTCCGACTTTGAGGATGGGTCCTGCTCTTGGCCAAATACTGGATTCACACTTTCCTGCAAGTTCGCAGGCACCAGTATTGCTCAGGCCTTACGGCCGGTACCGCCGACCCTGAAGACGACGACGACGAATGCGAGGAGGAGGAGGGGATTCAGTTGGAAGGGAGCAGGAGAAGGCGAAGGAGATGTTCCCCATGTGGGCCGAGGGAGTCGTAGCAGAGACAGACAGGGAGCCTTGTAGCCTGCGCCCCTTCCCGCCACCGTGCTGGTGTTGTGGTTGAAAGGCCTCTTGGATGTTTTCAGGCCTGTTGGGGCCTCTGTTGGGCCTCTTGTGGGTCTCCTGGGGGCCTCTTCGGGCCCCTTGAGGGGCTCTTGGGGCCAACTGGGGGCTTCTTGGGGCGGGAAGCTCGAAATGTCGGTTCGTGGTCCTCTTCTTGGGCCTGCTTGGGGCCCTCTTGGCGCTTTCTTGGGCTCCGGGGCGCCCAGGGACGGATGCGTATCTGACCCCCCCCCTCAGCGGACCCCCCCACCGGGACCCCCCCCGGGACGCCGCCCCCCTCGGCGGGGGAGGGATCAAAGAGAAGGGCTTCCCTTCGATGTAAGTACGACGCTGCTACGGTTTTCCCTCGCTGGCAGGCTTGAAGAGGAGGGCGCAGGGAAAGGGGACGACGGAGACGCAGGGAAAGAGGACAACGGATGCGGCGGCTCCTGCTCCTGCTCCTGCTCCTGCTCCTGCTCCTCCTCCTCCTCCTCCTCCTCCTCCTCCTCCTCCTCCTCCTCCTCCTCCTCCTCCTTCTCCTCGTCCTGCTCCTCCTCCTCCTCCTCCTCCTCCTCCTCCTCCTCCTCCTCCTCCTCCTCCGCGCTTGGGCGAGAACGACATTTGGCCCGCTCGCGCACGGACCCGCTTCCGCCTCCGACGACTCGGCGAGAGGAGGGCGCACAGCACAACGGGGGCCCCAGCGCCCCCAGAGCGACCGAGACGAGACGTGCGCTGCTCGGAGGGGTCGCCGACGCCGCAGCCGTCGCCGTCGCCGTCGCCGTCGCCGTCGCCGTCGCCGTCGCCGTCGCCGTCGTCGTCGTCGTCGTCGCCGTCGTCGTCGTCGATGTCGACGTCGCCGTAGTCGTCGTCGATGTCGACGTCGCCATTGTCGTCGTCATCGTCGTCGCCGTCGTCGTCGTCGCCGTCGCCGTCGTCGTCATCTCTGCCACCGCAGCCGCAACTGTGGTCGTGGTCGTGGTCGTCGTCGTCGTCGTCGTCGTCGACGTCGGCGTCTTGTCGTCGTCGTCGTCGCCGCCTCCGTCGCCGTGGCCGTCGCCGTCGCCGTCGCCGTCGCCGTCGTCGCCGTCGCCGTCCCCGGTGCCGGCGCCGCCGTCGCCGTCGCTGCCGTCGTCGTCGTCGTCGTCGTCGTCGTCGTCGTCGTCGTCGTCGTCGTCGCCGTCGCCCTCGCCGTCGCCCTCGCCGTCGCCGTCGTCGCCGTCGTCGTCGTCGCCGTCGCCGTCGTCGTCGTCGTCGTCGTCGTCGTCGTCGTCGTCGTCGTCGTCGTCGTCGTCGTCGCCGTCGTCATCGAGAGGGCGGGCACTTTCCTCCAGTTGCCGGAGGGGGCAGGGAGGCGGACAATTCCTCGCATCCCCCCACGTCGCCCGTCGTGGACGTGGTCGTGGACGTGGTCGTGGTCGTGGACGTGGTCGTGGTCGTCGTCGTCCCCCTGGTTTCCGGGAGAGGTGGTGGCAACTTGTTCAAGCCAGGCGGCCGTGGCACGCGCCCCCTCAAAGAGGTCGCAAGGAGGGAACGGGCCTGGGTAAGAGTGCCCTTCGCTGCGACGCTTTTGGGGGGCGCGAGGGGGCCAAACACAAGCGCGCAGGCCGCTGTTACCGCGTCGCGCTCAGCGATCGGGCGGGCCCCGGCGATCCCGCACCACAGGTCACTCCGGCGAAGGGTCGCTCTTACATGTAGTCGATCAGATTAACCCAGACATCCGACGTCTCGATTTTTTCGAGACGCGGGCCCCCGACCTCCCGACCACTTCCCCGGGACCGGTTTTTCGTCCCGAGTCGTTTTTTGACGGTCCCGAGACCCGGCGAGGGCCCCGAGGGGCCAAAAACTAGGAAAAACCTCTGCCTCGATTTTTTCGAGACGCCCGATGTCTGGGTAAGCACCAGGGCCGAAGCACCGACGCCCTCGATCTCTCGCGCGACGGCGACGCTTTTTTTAGCAGCAGGCCAGTCTGAGAGCCAGAAGCGTGCGACGCCGCCGGCGGGCCACGGCGTAGCGCCGGCCCCGGGAGCAGGAGCAGGAGGAGGAGGAGGAGGAGGAGGAGGAGGAGGAGGAGGAGGAGGGGGAGGAGGGGGAGGAGGAGCAGGAGGAGGAGGAGGAGGAGGCAGGAGGAGGAGGAGGAGGAGGGGGAGGAGGAGCAGGGGAGGAGAAGGAGGAGAGCAGGAGGACGTCTTGTTGAGGAGCAGGTCGACGGAGGCCGAGGGAGGTCGAGGCGGCGGCGGGCAGTGCAGGGGGCCACGCCTGCTCCCGCCCGTGCAGCGCTGGCCCGCTGGCGACCGGCCCCCTCACATGCCGCGCATCTTCCGCAGCAGGGCGCCGTGGGGGCCGTCCGCGTCCTCGGCGCGCATCTTCCGCAGCACGGCCTCCGCCGCCGCCGCCGCCGCGGCCGCCGCCGCCGCCGCCGCCGTCGTGGTCGTGGTCGTGGTCGTGGTCGCCGTCGTGGTCGTGGTCGTGGTCGTGGTCGTGGTCGTGGTCGTGGTCGTGGTCGTGGTCGTGGTCGTGGTCGTGGTCGTGGTCGTCGCCTTCGCCGTCGCCGTCGCCGTCGCCGTCCTCCGCCGTGGCGCTGGACGCGGGGTCGCTCAGCAGGCGGGCGACGGCTCCCGAGTAGAGTGCGCCGCGGCGGCCCATGGCCCCCAGCGCCTGCGCCGCGGCGGCCTTGACCTCGGCCGGCTCCTCGCCCGAGAGGTGCAGGGCGATGGCGCCGGCGTACCTCGAGGGGCCACGCCGAAGTTCGAGCCTCGGGCCTCGGAGGGCGAGCCTCCAGGAGGTGGCTCCTGGACTTGGGCTCCCGGAGGCCGCGTTCGGGCCCCGGGGCGGTCGGGATCGAGATCCGAGGCTCCCTGGCCCTCGGGGGCCCTCCTCGTCGCCAAGGAGGGGCGCGGCTCGGGAATCTGGAACGTGTTTGGACCCCAGGATTCGGGGATGGACAGACCTCCCTTTAGCAAAACGTGGTTTAGTGAAAACGACCTGAGGCCCAAACCTGGCGGGCGCAAGCCTGGAAAATAACGGCCACGGCGCCCTCTCGAAAACCGAAAACGGACAATTCACTAATCGACGTGTCACTGTTGGGAGTTCTGTCCACCCCCGAAGGATGGGGTTCCGCGGGGCGATCGAGCGGACTTGATCATCGGCCGGCCGAGGTACAGGCGGCCTGTCTCGCCCATGCGCCCGAGCGCCATCATCGCGGCCGCACGCACCTTGGCGGCGCGCACAAGGGGGCAATTTGGGGGAAGGGGGGGAGGCTCCTTGGAAGGAGACTGCTTCTTCGAAGGCGCCGGCCCTCTCTGTGGATGCAAGGCCGGCCCTCTAAGAAGCAGGGGTGCTTCTACGAAGCCTTCCCCCCCTCCCCGTATACCCCCCCCCCTCTGCGCGTGGCCGCGCACCCTCGGAGACTCGTCCGCCGTCTTCTCGAAGACGCCGCCCGCGAAGCCCGCGCCCTCCTCGCCCAGCTCGCCGAGCGCCAGGGCCGCCTCCGCGCGCACGGCCGCGGCCCCGTCCGCGAGCGCGGCCGCCAGCGCCGGACACTGCCCCGTGGCGCCGATCCTGCCGCAGCAGACCGCCGCCGCGGCCCGCACCTGCTGCGCGCTGTCGCGCAGCAGCGCCCCCACCGCCGCCGCCTGGCCGCGCGCGTGCTCGCCCATGGCCCCCAGCGCCTCGCAGCTGGCGGCGCGCGCCTCCCAGTCCGCGTCCTCCAGCAGCCGCGCCACGGCGCCGGCGACCTCCTCCGGCGACCGCGCGCCGCCGGACACCACCAGCGAGCTCAGGGCCGCGGCCGCCGCGCACTTCGCCTTCCGGCAGCACGGCGGCGGCATGCGGCGGGCGCCCCCGGCGGCCAGGGCGCCGTAGGCGGGCTCCACGCCGCTGTCGGACAGCATCTCCTGCAGGGCGCCCGCCTGGCCCGCGCTCTTCTCGCCCATGTGGCCCAGCGCCAGGGCCGCCGCGATGCGGTGGCGCCCCTCCGGCGAGGTCAGCAGCTCCGCCGTCTTGGCCACGAGCGCGGAGCTGTCCTGCATGACGTTGGCCATCTGCCCCAGCGACTGCGCGGCCGCCACGCGAACCTCTGGGGAAACCAACAGGTACCGATACCACTGCTCCCCGGGCCTCTCGTGGGGGGTGCGCTCCGACCAGGATTTCGGGGCGAATCCGGCGGTGGCGACGAGTGCCTCCCAGGAGGCCCAAGCAGGGGAAAAACGAGGGAAGGGCAGCGGCTTGGGCACCTTTTTGTGCTCCTCTGCACCTCTGGGTCCTCGTCCCGCAGGCAGGCGCGGACCTGCTCACAGTGGCGAGCGCCCGCCTCCCCCAGCATGCCCAGGGCACGGATGGCCTCCAGCCGCGAGCGCGGCTCGCGCAGCCTCCCCGCCACCTTGAGCAGGGACCGACGGTCCCGGCATTCCTATAGGCCTACCACGACGTGTTCTTAGACCCGATGTTCTAAGAACAAAAGCACTGTTCTTAGAACATAAAGCCGATGTGATAAAACAAGATGGTCCCGGCCAGAGATGCTCCAAGAACATGTCGTAGAAACCACACAAAGGTTCTTAGAACATTGTTTGGCAGGCCTAGAGTTAAGTCGGGCGTGTCCCCCTACAGGGGGATTTTGGGCGAAAAATAAAAAAAAACTCCAAAATGGTCCAAAAAATCCAAGACAAAAATAGTCCCCATACTTTTTTGTTGGACTATTTTTCAACATTCCCCCCTGTAGAGGGACAGGCCCGACTTAAGCCTAGCGGCACGCCAGGACGCTTCGCCACTGCTCGACCACCTCCGCGGCGTGGCCCCGGCCGGCCAGGCCCAGCCTCCCCAGGGCGAGGCACGCGGCGCCCTGCACCTCCGGAGACGGCGCCGCCGCCGCCGCCGCCGCCGCCGACGACGACGACGACGACGACGACGACGGCGCCGACGACGACGACGACGACGGCGACGGCGACGACGACGGCGCCGACGACGACGGCGCCGACGATTGCGACGACGACGACGACGACGACGACGACGACGACGACGACGACGACGACGACGACGACGACGGCGCCGACGGCGGCGGCGGCGGCGCCGACGACGACGACGACGGCACCTCCGGAGACGGGTCCCGCAGGAGCGGGGCCACCATGTCCGCCCACTCGGCCGCGTCGGCGCGGCCCAGCGCCACGCACGCCGCGAACCGCACGGTCTCCTGCGGAGACGACGCCAGGACGAAGAATCTCGGACGAGGACGAGGATCAATGGAGAATTCGGGTGAGAGAGGACGAGGACCAATCGAGGATGCAATCTCGAATCCAGGATAATCTCGGATGAGGATGAGGATCCATCGAGAATTCGGGTGAAGAGAGAGGATGAGGATCAATCAACGAGGATCAATCGAGAACGAAGAACCTCGAGTCCAGGATAACTCCGGGTGAGGATACATCGAGACTCTCGGAGATCCGGCGGCTCTGGAGGACGTCTCGGGCGGCCCTCTCAGCGCGTTCCGCAGGACGCTCATGAGAGCGTCGGGGGCACGCCCCCTGCAGCGGACTCTTCTCCTCGCCCCCGCCCCGCCCGGCTCCTTCTGGTCCTTCAGCAGGGGCAGGATGGACTTCTTGGCGGCCGCCGCGCGGCGCCCGCAGCCCGCGAGGCTCACGCAGGCCTCGTAGCGCACCCCGGGGTCCGGGTCGGCCAGCAGCGGCTCCACGCTCTGCAGGTGGTCGAAGCCGCGCGGGCCCGCGGCCCGGAAGGCCTGGCACACGGCCCGCTTCACGCTGGGCCCCGAGCTCTGCAGCATGGCGACCAGCTCGTCCAGGTACTCCACTACCTCCGCCTCTCGGGAGGAGGAGGAGGAGGAGGAGGAGGAGGAGGAGGAGAAGGAGGAGGAGGAGGAGGAGGAGGAGGAGGAGGAGGAGGAGGAGGAGGAGGAGGAGGAGGGGGGTGTCCAAGAGGGGGGGGTGCAGATCATGACCGGCGGCGTGTGCGCGGCCCCGCGGGGGGGGCCAGGAGCGTAATGACATAAGAAGAGGCGCCATGAAGTCTGGGGAGATATCATGGCCCACGCCATGATACCCCCCCCCCCCCTAGTCATAGTCATCACCCCCCTCTTTGCCGCCCCCTCCGCCTCCCCGCGCTGCGCCAGCTCGTGGATGGACGCGGCCCGCTGGTGGTCCTGCCGCACGGCCCTCTGGGTGGCGAGGTCGGGGTCCGCTGCCCGCTCGGGCGCGCCGCCCGGGGCAGCGAAGCTCGGCGAGGACGGGCGCGAAATCATCGCCGCCCGCCGCGGCGCGCCAGCGACGCCGAGGAAGGGCCCGCGCGGGGGCGCGGTCGCATGCCGGATCCCAGGCCAGCCGGATCGGGTCGCAGTCCGCACCCCCCGAGCCGCGGAAGATGGCTGGGAAAGGAAGGCCGAGGGCGACGGATCCGAACGCGGATGTGCATATGTCCGCTGTCGGCCACGGGGGCTCTCCTTCGTTGAACGAGGCGGGTCTCGAAAGGGAAGGGGCGGAGAGAACGGGATGGGCAAGGGGAAGGCAATGCGGGGTGAGCGGGCGTCCGGTGCCGGGACCTGCCTAGAGAGCAAATCCCAAAGGACAGGTCACAGCTGGCTGGCAAGAAAGCAGAAGCTGCTGGTCTCCAACACCGAAGACAGACGTGGCACCTGCCCTCCTGCTGCTGCCGCGCGGAACAGGAAGTCCCAGGGTCTAGTAACGAATCGACCCGACAACAGCCCCGGGTCCCCGACGATGTCGCGAGGCAAAGGCGCGCCGCGACCGGAACCCTCGTAGGCACTGCCCGTGGCGACGCGAGTCCACCACGACAACACTACTGTACAAGGTGACAGACCACTTTTTGTCCACATGTTCGTGGGGTCATGTTTTTTTTTCCCTGCCGCGTCGCGCCCGCGTCTCCCTCCTCCCCTCCTCGTCCTCCTGCCTCCCCTCACCCACGCGCAGCACATGTACTGCAAGTACACGAGACACGCGTCCACATACGGCCGCACGCATGCACACACTCGCACACACACACAGACACACACACACACACACTAACAACGCCAGTGCACGCCTGGCGTGTTCACTGCATCAGACACCCACGACGTATGCGCTATGCGCTACCGCTACATACTGGGCAATGTGACTCACGTGCAGATACAGCCGCACACGCATCATACACAGGACACATACGCGCAACACTCGCCCAACACACATCTCACAGCATGGTACTGTCTCGATGCCACAAGGGGGTGCGCTGGGGGTACGGTCGCTATCCGTCGTACGCTCGCAGAGCGTGGCAGGCGTGCACTTTCTCGACGCCACGGGGGGGTGCGAAGGGCGTGCGATCGTTATCCGTCGTACGCTCGCAAAACATGGCAGGCGTGGCAGTTTCTCGATGCCACAGGGAGTGCGCTGGAGGTGCGGTCGCCATCCGTCGTACGCTCGCAAAACGTACGTGGCAGATTCTCGATGCCACAAAGGGGTGCGGAGGGGGCGCTACCCGCCGTATGCTCACAAAGCGTGGCAGGCGTGCACTGTATCGACACCACAGGGGGCTGCGCAGAGGGTGCGGTCGTTATCTGCCGCACGCTCGCAAAGCGTGGCAGGCGTGGCGGTTTCTCGATGCCACAGGGGGTGCGCTGGGGGTACAGTCGCTATCCGTCGTACGCTCGCAAAGCGTGGCAGGCGTGGCAGTTTCTCGACACTGCAGGGGGTGCGCTGGAGGTGGGGGGGCTCTGTCGTACGCTCGCACAGCGTGGACGGCGTGGCAGGTTCTCGACACCACAAGGGATGCGGAGGGAGTGGGGGCGCTATCCGTCGCACGCTCGCAAAGCGTGGCAGGCGTGGCAGCTTCTCGACACCACAGGGGGCTTGCCGCGCACGCGAATGCTGCAAAGCGAACGCGAGTCAGACCACGGCGAGGTAGAGGGAGTCAGAGAAACAAATACAGGGAAAGGGAGGGGGGAGGTTGCATTGCAACTGTTGCAAGCCAGCGTAGAGGATGGCGAAGCAGGATGTGACATGGAATCTGAACACACGCGACATAAAATAAATATGTGTTCCTCGGTAGCGTAATTCCCTGTCCCTGCTATTGCTGGTGACGGGCACACTTCTGTTTAACAAGATGCGATGTTCCTGATAGGACACATCGAACATGAGTTCGGCCAGCAAGCACATCCAGAAACATATACATGGTAATCGGAAGTAGAGCGGAACGCGTTCTCAAATCAACTGGGACACCACCGCAAATCCATCGGGACACTCTCGCAGATCAATCACGACGCCAACGCAAGTCGATCTGGACACAATCGGAACACCAACGTAAATCGAATGCAACTCACCCTGGGCAGCATCGCACATCATCACGGGCATCATCATGTGTCAGCGGGGGAACCATCTGGATCCCATCGCAAGTCAACCGAGAATCATTCCTGGTCGAATTCTTCAGCGAAGCTTGCATGGAGGGCTCTAACTGCCTGCTTCAGTAGCTCCCTCACCAGGTGCCCTCAACGGGTGCCCCTCCTGTCCCTCCCGCATACCTCCGGTGAGCCTCGCGTGCGCACATCGCGTTGCTGGCGCTGTTGCCAGGAAACTCCACGCGTAAAGCACGTCGCACTGCCACCACTTAGTGGGCCCTGGAAACGACAGGGCCGTTTTGTTACCGGTTCCGTTTTGCCGTTTCTTTGCCGGTTCTGACGCCGTTTTTTTACTGGTTCCGTCGCCGTTTTTTGACCGGTTCCGGCTCCGGTTCCAGTCCTGGAGCCGTTTTCTAGCCGTTTCCGGTCGCTTTTTTTTTGCCGTTTCCATTTTCAAAAGACATTTTTTTGGAAACGGTGAAAAAACGGCCCTGCCGTTTCCGGGGCCCACAAAGTGCCACCAGCGTTGATGCCGGGAAGCCCATTCCGAAAGCGCCCGTTTGCCCCCAGCACGCATCGCGTTGACAGCGTTGCCGCCAGGAAGCGCACTCCAAGCGCACACGCTCGCAGGCGCCGAGCACCGCGCTGCCAACGTCGACGGGAATGCATGGGGCGATAGCCACGCAGGTGGGAACCTCTGACGCTGGAACCTATGGGGCGGCGGGAACTTATGGGGCGGGCGGGGATATATATATATATATATATATATATATACATACATATATATATGTATATATATATATGTATATACATGTATATATAGGGCGGGAGCCTATGGTGCGGGAACCTATGGAGCAGGAGCCTAGGAGGCGGTAACCTATAGGGCGGGAACCCATGAGGCGGGAGCCTGTGGCGGGAACCTACAGGGTGGCGGGAACGTATGGGGCGGGAACCTATGGGGTGGGAACTTTGACCGTCTTGAAGCTGTCCATTCCAATGCTCGCGCAAACATCCCACCCACCCACCCGCAACTTGGTATGCAAAATCTCTTAAGACCGTGACGGTGGGTACCACATGGCACTTGGCAACAACAGCGACGCCGACGACGACAGCGACAACGACGATGACGACGCCGCCGACAACGACTACACGACACCGACGACGTCTCCAACGACTTCGACGACGACGACGACGACGACGACGACGACGACGACACCGACGACGACGACACCGACGCCGACGCCGACGACGACGATGACAACGACGACGACGATGACGACGCCGACGACGACGATAACGACGACACCGACGACGACGACGACGACGTCAGCGACGCCGACGACCGACGACGACGACGACGACGACGGCGGCGACGACGACGACGCCGACGTCGACGACGACGAAGACGACAACGACGCCGACGCCGACGCCGACGACGAAGACGACGACGACGACGACGTCGCCAACGAAGACAACGAGGAAGGAGGGAGGACGACGACGGCGACAACGACGACAACGACGAGGGAGGAGGGAGGACGGCGACGACGCGAACGACGAAGAAGGAAGAAGGACGGCGACGCCGACGACGGCAACGACAGGGAGGAGGGAAGACGACGACGACGACACGACGACGACGACGACGACGACGGCGACGAAATAGGAGGGACGACGACGAGACGCCGACGACGGACGACGACGACGACGAGGGAGGAGGAGGAAGGACGACCACGGCGACAACGACGACGGAAACGACCACGACGCCAAAGAGGACGACGACGACGAACACGAGGAAAGACAGAGGACGACGTAGGCGACGACGACGACGACGACGACGACGGAGGAGGGAGGACGGCGACGACGACGACGACGACGACGCAAGAGCGCGCGCGCACGCTTTTGTTGAAAATCCGTGTTGCGAAACCTTAGGTTTTTGTCGGTTTTTTTGGACACACGATTTTGAAATCCTTCCGAAACCGATGGGTTTTGAAGGTTTTCGGCATACGCGCGCGTCTGCACTTCGTCCCGTTTTTTGCAATGGATTCTCGCGACGGCACACGCGCAAGGGCGTTCGACAGATTTCGACATGAGCGCGCGCGAAGCCCGTTTGGTAGCATGTTGTGAAAATCTTGGAAAACCTATGGTTTTCTTAAGATTTCGCAGGAGCTTTCGCGGAAGCTTTTTTAGCAACTCTGTGTTGCGAAACCCTGTGTGTTTGTATGTTGTTTGGAAACTCGATTGCGAAATCCTTCCCGCACCGAATGATTTTTGAAGGATTTCAGCATGCGCGCGCGACGACGCGCGCGTGTGCATGTCGTCTCATAGTTTGCAAGGGATTCGTGAAAAAAATGCTATGTTAAAACAAAAAATGTCACCGCATAGTGTTTTTTCACAAGGAAACCTCAGGGGGTGAAACCGGCCTAGTTGGGATGGTATGATTTCATATTTAGGATGGACGAGTGTGCAGAATATATGTGTTTATATATATACATATATATATATATATATATGAAATCATACTATCCCAAGGGGAACCGATAAGTCCGGGGGGGGGTAGAGTCTACTTTCTTTTTAGAAATGAGAATCAATGGGGCTGGAACTCATTTGCCGAACTTGAAGTTGTCAACTCCACTGCTCGCGCAATCATCCCACCCACCCACCCGCAACTTGGCTTGCAAAACCCATGCGGAAGCGATTGCGATGAGTGCTGAGCGTTCGACGCGCACGCTTAAGTTGCTCGCTTGACAGAAATGTTGAAAAAAACATTGGTTTCTTAGGATTCGGAAAGCGCGCCCCTGTAGATTGTTTGATTCGTCTGCAGATTATGTTCGAGGATGTATGGTACGACTCGTGTGATTTCATGAGGTTCGGTCTTGAAGTTGTTGAAACCACAATGTGTTTGGAAGGATTTCGACCTGCGCGCGGCGGCCGCACGCATGTGCCCCGCATTGTATGTTTTACAAACGATTGTGGCCCTGGCAGGTGCGCCACCGTTGTTGAATGAGATCGACGCGCGCGCAAAAGTTGCCCAAGAAGCCTGATGTGACAGGAAGGTCAAACAACCATTGGTTTTTGAAGGCTCCGGCAAGAGCGCGCGGGCAGATGTTTCAGAATTGGTGGGTGAGAAAGTCGCATGTGTTCATGGGTTCTCTTGAAGTGGGCGGTGGAGATTGTTGGAAAACACAATGTGTGTTGGAAGGATTTCCACATGCGCGCGCGGCGGCCGCGCGCGTGTGCCCCGCATGGTATTTTTGCAGGAGGAGGAGGAGGAGGAGGAGGAAGGGGAGGAGGAGGAGGAGGAGGAGGAGGAGGAGGAGGGGAAGGGGAAGGGGGAGGGGGAGGAGGAGGAGGAGGAGGAGGAGGAGGAGGAGGAGGAGGAGGAGGAGGGAGTTCGTGAACAAGTGCTATGTTAGAACAAGACATGTCACCGTATAGCATTGCTGCTCCAAGGGAACCGAAGGGGGGACCGATGCCGGCCTTGCCTTGCTGGGATAGCAGGAGCTCACAGGCAGGATGGGCATTGGGTGAAAAAAACCACATGTGTTTTGCAGCGGTTTTGGGGGAATCGATACGTCCGGCGGGGGAGGGTGGTAGAACCTATTTTCTTGTAAAACCAAGAGAGCCTATGGCGCGGCGGGCTGTGGCGGGAACCTATGGGGCGGGAACCTCTGGGGGGGGGAACCCATAGGGCGGGAACGTATTGGGCGGGAGCCTGTGAGGCGGGAGCCTATGGAGTGGGAGCCGATGGGGCGGGAACCTATGGGGGGGAGCTGATTTTAACAAACGAGTTGACACGTCCCGCGCTCTTGCAAACATCCCACCCGCCCACCCGCAACTTGGCTTGCAAAATCTCTGAAGACCGTGACGGTGGGTACCAAATGGCACTTGGCAGCGACAGCGGCGCCGACATGGGGCGGGAACCTGTGAGGCGGGAGCCCATGGAGTGGGAGCCGATGGGGCGGGAACCTACGGGGCGGGAACCTGCGAGGCAAGAACGTATGAGGCGGGAGCGTACGGGGCGGGAACGCATGGGGCGGGAGCGCATGGGGAGGCGGGAGCTTTTGGGACGGGAATTCATAATGTGGGAGCCCATGGGGCGGGGCGGGAACCTATGGGGCAGCGGGACTTGTGGAACCCTAGACGAAAGGCAATCTGTGGGAACACAAGTAAAACACATACGTAGGGTTTGAGCCACAGGAGAACAGAAGGGCAATCTAGAGGACATAAGGAAAAAATGCACTAGGATTCGAGCCACAGCCGAGGAGCAATCTATATGAACATACATACAACAGTTTGGATTCGAGCCACGGGGGAGAAGCAATCTATAGGAACAAACGCAAAACACTTAGGACTCGAGCCCCCTTTTTTTGATGACCAAGGCAGCTCGTGCGGCACGAGCCGATCCTGCCGCCAAGAAGGCGAGAGCCGCAAAATGCGGCCAGGAGGCTCCGCAAACAGCGGCCTCCAAGTTGCAGCACACTCGCCACGCCACGTGGGTGTGCGCCGTCAGGTGAGGCGGCCACGCGAGCCACCATCCACCCCGTGCCGAGCCTGAAAAGGCCCAGACCACCGAAGGCACTCCCCGCCTCACTCACTCAGGCGCTTGCCCGTCTTCGGGTCCAAGACGCCCGAGGGAAAGCGCCGACATCTGAGGGCCGAATGCCGAGCCCCTCAGCGCGGCCCGCTCAGGCGGGAGGGCGCCGCCGCCGCTCCTTGCTCGCCCAAGCCCGCCACGGGGACCCAAGCCCGAACTGGGAGCGGAGCCACTCTCGGCCAGCGGCAGCCTCAGAAGCCGACAGCGCCGGAGGGTCGACGTCGCAGCCGTCGCACTGCCAGCCCGGTCGCCGGATGTCGCGGTCGACCGTGAGGGCCACGGTCGCCGCGTAGACGTGGCGGCGTAGCGCGAAGAGCCGCACGGGCCCGCGCGCAGGAGCAGCCGTGGCCGAGGCGCCGTCCACGCTGCCGAAGCCGTCCACGCCGTCGGCACCCCCTCCATCCTCACCGAGCTCCTGCGCGACGCCGTAGAACCCGCCGAGGCGAGGAGAAGTCGAAGATGGGCTGGGAGCGCGGTCCTGTCCCTGTACTCGGCCGCCGTCCTCCTGCGTGTCCCGCTCGACGTTCGTGCCGCTGGTGGCAACCGCGCTGCTCCCGCAGAGGAGGGCAGCTTCGTTGGCCATCAGGTAGTCCGAGACGATACTGGGGTCCGCGCCGACAGGAGGAGAAGAAGTGCACGCCGTGCTGCACGCCTCGCCAGGACCAGGAAGAAGATCAGGAAGAGGATGAAGAAGACCACCATGCGCAGCAGGCAGAGGAGCAGGAGCGTCGATGCCCGCCGAGCCGCCGACGTCGCAGTCCTCGTGCGCCACCGCAACGCTAGCCTCCGCATCCTCGAAGCCAGCTTGCCACCACAGCGCCCCAGACGCCAATGGGGGCCACGGGAGGCTGGCTAGCACTGCACACGCGCTCAGCAAGCGCGAAGCGAGCGCCAGCGGGAAGGCTGCGCCCGCGCCTGCGGGCCACGCCCCAGCCCGTCGACACTCTCTCGGACGCCTAGCGCTGGGCAGGCACACGGCGGTGAAGAAGGGCAGCACCAGCCGTGCGAGAAGGAAGATCAGCACGTCCGCGGCCAGCAGCGCCGCGCACTTGCCGTAGCTGTCCTCCTGGGCGGTCGCGCCGCGTACGCCGAGCAGACCTGCGGGGGCCAGCCCTGCGCGCCTCGCGCTGCACCGCGTTGAGCTCCTGCTGGCCCATCTTGGCGATGTCGGCAGCCTGCACTCGGAAGTGGTGGGCCGCCGTGTTACGCCTGCCGACGTCCAGCGAGCTGGGAGCAGGAGGGGGGGCCCCTCGGCTCTCCTCGCACCCCTGCTCCTCCTCGTGCATGGCGGCCCTGACCCCGTGGCTGATGCACGGCGCCATTAAGCGCAACCGCAGCTCGACCTCGTGCAGGACGCGGGCCTCGAAGTCAGCAGCTGCAGGAACCGGGGGAGCCGCGGCCGCCGCCCGCGCACAACGTAGCTCGCCCTCCAGCTCCACGATGCGCGCAAAGGCAGCCGCCAGCCTCCCGTCTGCCGCTTGCCTCGCCGCGGCCCGCCGCGCACGCCGCGCGGGCCACAGCGAGAGGGCCTCCGTGCCGCGGAGCTGCTCCGCCGCCTCGGGGGCGGCATGGCAGCCGACCGTAGCCATCTCCCCAAGCGAGTCTCAGCTGCAGAGCGCGAGGCGGGCGCGGCCGAGGCAAGACTGAGAACGGCTGAGCCAAAATGGCTACGGAGGGACTCGAGCCCCAGGAAAGGGGCAATCAATAGGAACATACGTAAAACACAAATGATTCGTGCCCCAGGAGAGGGGCAATCCAGAGGAACATACGTACAGAACGCAGGATTCGTGTCCCAAGAGAGGGGCAATGGGAACAGACTGAGAAACACAAACCACATTCGTGCCCCAAGGGAGGGCCAATGCAAAGGAACATACGAACAATATCAATGATTCAGGCCCCAGGAGAGGGCCAATCTAGAGGAACACCTGTAAAACATGAAGGATTCGTGCACCAAGAGAGGGGGCAATATGCAGGAACATGCGCAACACACTGAAAAGATGCGGGGCCCAGGAGAAGGCCAATCCTAGAGGAACAGACACACAAACTTCTGGGGATGTTTTCCCGGATAGCTCCTCGGAGAGCTGAGATGGGTGCGAGGTGCGAGCTATCCGACGTAGCCGTTTGAGTAAAGGACACTCATGGCTGTGCCGCACAGTACTGCAAGAAGCATAGGCCACGAGAGTTGCAATCGCTGGGCTAACGCTGAAGCCTGCGGGTCACGCGGATGCCGCAAATGAGTCCCCCCAACCCACGAGATGTGCGTTGTTCGCTCCTTCCGCACCCAGCGAAAACAACATTCCGGAATAGAAACCCAATCCACCACGCAGAACGGGATGGACGAAGCAGGATGGGGGCGGCTGGATGGATGGATGGATGGATGGTGCTCCTGCTCACCTGCTCAATGTGCGAGGGGAGCCGAAAGAGAGCGACTGGCTCAGTATGTGGGGGGAGGGGGACAACGACATCGGAGGAGGAGGGAGGCGGAGGGGAGAGGGAGAGAGGGAGGAGGAGGAGGAGGAGGAGGAGGAGGAGGAGGAATGAGGAGAGGAGGAGGAGGAGGAGGAGGTGGAGGAGGAGGAGGGGAGGAGGAAGGAGGAGGGGAGGGAAGGAGGAGATGGGGAGGAAAGGAGGGATGGGGGCTCTCTCGATCGACCCCGAGGACTGCGCCTGCCTGCCGAGAGGCTAGCTCCAGCGGGGCCAGCCCCGGGGAGACCGCACGGCGACGACAGGCGTGGGCACGCTCAGGCTGGCAGGTCCGCGCCTCCTCCTCCCTCCCTCCTCCCCCTCCCTCCTCCCCCCCCCTCCTCCCTCCCCTCCTCCTCCTCCTCCTCCTCCTCCCTCCTCCTCCTCTCCTCCTCCCTCCTCCTCTCTCCTCCCCTCCTCCTCCCTCCTCCTCCTCCTCCTCCTCCTCGCCTCCTCCCTCCCTCCCTCCCTCCCTCCCTCCCTCCCTCCTCCCTCCTCCCTCCTCCTCCCTCCTCTTTCTCGCTGCTCCAGCGAGACCGTGTTGCTCCGCTCTCGGGTCGGGACGCGGAAGCACCGCGCCTTTTCTGCATGCTGCCCGTGCTGCCGCCCACACAGCAAATCCGTGTCGTCGGCCGCCCTGGGCGAACGCTCAGCGCGCAGGCACAGCCTGATCGCGCAAGCACGCGCCGCTCTGCGGTGCGGCCAGGGTGCCCCGCGGTGCGCGGGGTAAAACATACTAAAAGGTTTCTAGAAGCAAGCGAGTGTCAACATTGCGTTCGACACCTCTCGCTCGGTGGTCAAACGAACGCAGACAATGCCTGAAGCATCGCATGCTCGCTGGTGATGTGTAAGCGAAGCCAAAACACACATATCCAAAATGTCTGAAACATCCGCTGATGGACGACCACATCTGCCTCGCGTTTTCACCGTCACATGTACCGTGGCTGGCATGGTGCAACAGGGTATGTTGGCATCCCTGAGAGATCATGCAAACCCGCCCATGTGCACCTCGAAAGCATGAAGGAGGCATCAAACGCGTCGCTATCGTTCCTCTACACACATGCGAAGTCTCACGACTAGAGGTCGACTCATCCTCCTCTTCCTCCACCTCCTCCTGTGTTGTTCGCACAACCTGGGGCCCATGTGCACCTCGAAAGCATGAATGAGGCATCAAACGCCTCGCTATCGTTCCTCTGCGCACATGCGAAGTCTCACAACTATAGGTCGACTCCTCCTCCTCCTCCTCCACCTCCTCATCATCCTCCATCTCCTCCTCCTCCTCCTCCCCCTCCTCCTCCTCCTCCTCCTCCACCTCCTCCCGTGTTGTTCGCCCAACCTGGGCCCCCATAGGACCTCTAGTGCCCTACAAGCGAGCCCAGAAGCCGCCCAGACACACGTCCAGACCATGTCGGACAAGCCCCGCGGGGCAAGACGGGGAGGAGGACAGCGCGGAATAAAATAATCAGAAGAAGAAAGAGAAGAAGGAGGAGGAGGAGGGGAATAAGGAGGAGAAGGAAGAGGCTGTTGTCCCACAGTAGCTCCAATGTGGCTTCGAGAACCCCCAACATATCGCCTCACATCCAGACACCGCTGGATCCCTCCAAGACCGAGTCGGAGCAACACTCTGAGCTGATGAAGCGGCCAGCACCTCGGCGAGAACACCACTCGAGCTGGGAGCGTTGCCAGCGCTGGCACCGCCCTGGACGCCATAGACAGGACCTCCCGAGCGAAACGTGGGAGCGTTAACAGCATGACAGCCGCACCAAACGTCGAAAGCGGCAGATGATGACGCCCTTGTGCATGGACCCCTCTGCGGTGAGACGATCTCCGACCCCTATCATAATCCGATTGCGAAATGCTATTAATGATGTCCTGACTCCTGTTACACCCTACTACGGAACGCCATTGGGGACAGCACCCATGCGCAATAGCTAAACAACGAACAGTACTTGACATCGTTATCGCAAGGTGCAGTCTAGCATTGAGAGACATCACGGTCCAAGTGCTTGCTTCCACACGCTGAAGAGCACGTCGATCCTCAGACTGCAACGGATATGTGTTTCAACATGTGCTGATGCTTGTTTCTTTCTTTCTTTATTTTTCTCTCTCTCTCTCTATTTCTCTCTTTCTTCCTGTGCTGATTGCCTGTCTGCTTCTCTGGCAGTTTCTCTTTTTCTAGGGTTGTTCTATCATCCACACTTCTCCCTCTCTCTCTATCTGTCTCTCTCTCTCTCTCTCCCCTCTCTTTCCCCCATCTAACCCCAACGGGGGAAAGATAGAGATGTTTGAATCTGTTGGCCAGCGTGTACCCCAAGCAGTGATGTCCTGATGTCCTACAATCTATGCGGTGCAATCTGGGCGGTGCTGCCAACGTGGTGCAATCTAGGTGATGCAATCCGTGTGGCGCAATCGATGTGGTGCAAAAGCAGTGCACCATTTGTTGGCTGGAACACGATCGACCAACGTGTGGCGACGCAAAGCACTGCAGAACAATGCAAAGCAACGCAGAGCAATGCAAAGCAGACCTACGCGATGGTAACATGCTACGTGCAATGTAAACCAATGCGAAGTATTGCACACAAATGCAACTCACGCAATGCACAAGAATACAAGGCATTGCACAACACCGCACCGCAACGCAATAGAAACCGAAGCAACGCGATGCGCAGAAACGGAAGCCAATGCGAGGCAATGCGAACAAAATGCAAAGCAGTGCAAGCAATGCAACGCAGTTCGAAGACATGCAAACACAAAACAATGCAAAACAGTGCACCACCATGCAACATAATAGTGCAAAGCAGTGCAGAGTGCGTGCCTCGCACATGCAAACTCGTGCCCCGAAGACGCCGGCGACGGGCGGGCACAAAAGCAGGCCAGGCACACGACCAGACCCGGTTCCTCAGAAAATGATTAAGAAACCCCAAGCGCAAAGCGCAACACCACTGTTTGGGGAATCGGTACATCTGTTAGCCAGCTTGGATCCCATGCTGTGCGTATCTCACAATTATCTACGTACCGCGCCCCGGACGTTGTGCTCGCTCCCTGTCTCTCGCCTTGGAGCCGCGGACCAAAAAAGTATCTCACAACATGCGTGGGGCAGTACACGTGGTACAACCTGTGTGGTGCAACCCTGTGTTTCGTGCACGCTACGTTGTGCAACTATGCTGTCAAAACTGTGTTGTGCAATCCGATGTGCTGTGCCATCTATGCGATGCAAGCAACGCGGTGCAATAGATGTGGTGCAACCTCTGTTGTGCAGTCAATGTGGCAGAGTGCGTGTGGCACAAAATGTGTTGTGCAGTCTACGTGGTGCGATATGAATTGTGCTATCTACGTTGTGCAATTTATGTTGTGCAATTCACTTTGACTGTCTTGAAGCTATCCTCTCCACTGCTCGTGCAAATATCCCACCCTCCCACCCGCAACTTGGACGCAAGACCTCTTAAGACCGTGACGGCAGGTACCAAATTGCACTTGGCAGCGACACCGACGCCGACGACGACAGCGACAACGGCGACGACGACGACGACGACGACTACGACGACACCGACGACGACTCCGACGACTTCGACGACGATGACAACGATGACGACGACGACGAGGCCGAGGACGACGACGATGAAGACGACGACGAAGCCTGATGTTTGTTTAAATGATTTCGGCATGCGCGCGCGACGACGCGCGCGTGCATGTCGCTCAGTTTCTGGGGCCAGGGATTTTTCAAAACTGATGACTGTGGATAAGCGAATGCGCTCGCGCGGTACGTTTAGACAGGGGAACGACGGGGGGGCGATGCCGATGGCCTGGGATGGTGCGAACTCACATCTAGGATGGGCGATGGGCCCGAACCACAAGTAAACTTCAATAAGAAAGGCCGCGCCGATCAGACCGGGGGGGGGGGCGGGAGAGAGCCCATCTGTAGAAAGGAAAGACAATTTACGTTCGCAACGAATTGTCCACTTCGCTGCCCGCGCCATCACCCCGCCCACCCGCCCGCAACCTGGCTGGCAAATCCATGCGGGGGCGATTGCGAAGTTTACTTGGCGCCGGCTGGCGCATCGCTGCGGCCGCGCTAGCGCGCAGAGCGGCCGGTCAGTCTGGCGCGACGGACGCTGCCGCGGTGACT